AACCAATCAGTTGTTTTAATTGTCATATTTGAATTCAGCACATCAAAATACATAATAAATAGCACATTTTATCTTTGAAGCAGACGACGTCTCAAAAATTGTAGACCAGTGTTACACGTCGGGATGAAACCAAAATCCACCGCAGAATAGCCAGTAGCTAAGGTGTGTGATGGAGATATACCCCATAGAGCTGGAAGGGACCCTGAAAGGTCATCGAGTCCAGCCCCCTGCCTTCACTAGCAGGACCAAATACTGATTTTGCCCTAGATCCCTAAGTGGCCCCTTCAAGGATTGAACTCATAATCCTGGGTTTAGCAGGCCAGTGCTCAAATCACTGAGCTATACTCATCTGGCAAGTGGGAGACCCTTGTTTAAGTCCTTGTTATGCCTGATTCAGAAGAGCCTTGAATCTGGGTCTCTAATAGGGTGACCAGATAGCAAGTGTGAAAAAGTGGGACAGGGGATGGGGGTAATAGGTTCCTATATAAGAAAAAGCTCCAAATATCGGGACTGTCCCTATAAAATTGGAACATCTGGTCACCCTAGTCTCCAACATTCAGGTGAGTACCCTAAGCACCAGGCTTTTAGCTGTTCTAGGGTGGGTTTCTCCCTCTCTCTGGTTTTGATGAGAATTTCCATCCTAGTCCTGAGAAACTTCAGGTTTCTATGAATCTGTATTTTCTGGCACACTGTGTCATCAAAAAATTCCCAGCCAGCTCTATTTGTAACTAATGGTGTGCAAAATATGGAGGGAAGTGAAAAGTGTGGGCCCGAGTCTCCTCTCACATACACTAATTTTACAGTGTTGTAAGTCTGTTGGCTTAGTCCTTATTTTCAGGCTCTGTGTGCTCAAGGGAGTGTCTGCTAACAGAAGTCACATTTTTAAAACATGACCCTCAGTCTAATAATGTACAGTTATATGATATGCAGTGGTATTGAGATACGTAGTTTGTTGTTCATCATTGTTTAGCTATAAAGTGTTATGTGAATATGGCCTGAATGTGACATTAAAACGAACTTAGAGTCACGCTTTGTGCTTATAAACTCAACAGGAGAATTACAGAAGCGTATGATTTCTGTGTTTGGGGGCACAACACTGTCACATACCTGTCAAGGTTTGATGGTCAAGTTGTAATGTTTGGTATTGCTTCAGTACTCAGAAAAACATTATGTGTTATGATAAAGTTAAATTGCATAATAGAAGGTAGCAGCAGAGAGCCAGTTTCATACTTTGCCAGTCTCTGGGGCTCATAGCAAACCGAATGGCACAAAATGCTATGTTGTTGTTTTTATACAGAACTCTTGCCAGAGAAGGTGTTCCTGTTCATCTTGTGTACTTGACTTACTGGATTAGAGCCTAGTTATTTGATGCAGCCTGGCCCTTTATATATACCTGTGTTTATGTATGTATGTGTGTGTGTGTGTGTGTATAATATAACATTTTTTTAAAGGATTTAACCTTCTAAAGTAGAAATTATCATTTTGAAGTTATAATTAAATTTGTATTACTAACCAATATTTTCATACAGAGACTGTGAATAAAACAGATAGCTACTTTACTCTTTTTGTAGTCGAAGTCACGAAGCCTATGGTATAATTTATACCATATCAGTAGCTTCTACTCTTGACAGTAGCCTCTATAGTTATTTAAATTTGCTTTAATGTGGATGTCAGTTTTTACACTTTTTTTCATTTGTATTGTAATCTTTTTCTAGATTAATCACTATAGCAATGCATTTTAGCTATCATTTCATGTTCCATTAAAAGCTCTTCTGTTTTTAAATGCAGGGATGAACCGTAAAATTCGCTACTCACTAGTGAACTCTGCGGATGGACAGTTCTCTATTGATGAATTCTCTGGAATTGTTCGGTTGGAGAAGCCTTTGGATCGGGAGTTGCAGGCAGTGTACACTCTGACTTTAAAAGCTTTAGATCAAGGTTTACCTAGAAGGCTGTCCTCTCTTGGTAGTCTTGTGGTTTCTGTTTTGGATATAAATGACAATCCACCTGTGTTTGAATATAGAGAGTACAGTGCTACTGTATCAGAGGACACTTTAATTGGAACAGAAGTTCTTCAGATTTATGCTGTTAGCAGAGACATTGAAGCCAATGCTGAGATCACCTATTCAATAGTCAGTGGAAACGAACATGGAAAATTCAGTATTGATTCAGCAACAGGTAACAGAACATAAGGGTGAATTAACAGAAACATATGTGTTAATGTGTATTTAGCTGTATCATTTTCACCAAGCAGTGTGTTATTACACATTATGCAATTGATTAACCACGCAGATAGACTTAAAACATATGTCCTGTAAAGTCAGTGATACTTTAAACTGATGTGTTTTGTTACTGTCTGCTGAGATGTTCATTCATTTAAAAATAGTCTTGGAAAGAAGTGTAATAGAATATGAAAAATTAACTGTATGTAATGCTTTTGGTAGTTGCTATTTAGGATACCTTTACTTAGTCTACAAAGTAGAGTAGAAGTTTCCTAACCACCATGCCAAAAATAAAAAACAAACACACAAACAAAAAACAACAACTATAATTACAGATAACAGTCTGTTCACAAAAGCCATTATTTATAATCTAAATGAGGTTTTGTCAAAGAGAGACCTGAGATTAAACCGACAAGGAAAACTGATCATTGGTCCTCAAAGATGGTAATTATAGAAGAGTTGGTATGGCATTAGGGAAAGATAGAACTATGTGTCCAGCCTAAAGATGAAGGATTTTAGGACTGAAAGTCAGTGGGACTGCGGAGCTAAGGCACGTAAGTGCTTTTGAAAATTTTGTCCATTTTTACTACTTTAGTAAAGAGTAACTTATACCTCAGTTCTCCTTACATCATAATTCCTGTATATTCTGTAGCTTTTTTGCAAAGCGTGTTTTCAAGAAAAAGTTTCTCTCTCTCCTAAGGCCTTATTTGCACACACAAGTTGTACTAACTTGGGTTATTGTTAAAATGGTACTACTCCTTCCCCACTCCCCACATGTAGTTATACTGGTATAAAAGTGCTTATACCAATATAACTTATTGTCATATGGGAAGGGAAACAAACTATACTGGAATTAGGCACCTTCATATAAATATAACTGTGTCTGGTATAACGATGTAGTACCACTTTAACCATTTTGGTTTAAAAAAGAATCACACCCCTAACCAAAATCCTTCTACTGGTACAAAACCTGTGTATAGCCCGGGCAGTTCTACTGCTCCCACTGCTTACTACATACTTGACATAATACTCTTCTATTTTTTACATCAAATCTGGTTTCTGTCTAAGGGCAGGTCTTCACTACAGGGGGAGTCGATTTAAGATACGCAAATTCAGCTACGCCAATAGCGTAGCTGAATTCGACGTATCGGAGCCGACTTACCCCGCTGTGAGGACGGCGGCAAAATCGACCTCCGTCGCTCCCTGTCGACGGCACTTACTCCCACCTCCGCTGGTGGAGTAAGAGCGTCGATTCGGGGATCGATTGTCGCGTCCCGACGAGACGCGATAATTCGATCCCCAAGAGATCGATTTCTACCCACCGATTCAGGCGGGTAGTGTAGACCTAGCCTAAGTGAAATCAAAGGTTATTTCATTTATTTTATTTATTTTGATGGAAAATAAAAACAGGACGTGTTTTCCTAGACATCCTTAGCAATAAAAGAACAAAGGAAAGTAAGAGTCAGAAGAAACGAGTTGGCTCTGAGACAGTTTTTCATTGCAGCGGCTTCTGAATGTTTAGGGTTTGATTTCATTGCTGTGTATCTCCCATTTTACACTGTCATAACACAGGGATTAATCAGGTCATTGAGCTATTTGGAAATTAATTAAAACAAACTGAAAAGCAATAGTATGTAGCAGTACAGTAATATCAAAATATGAAATTTTTCTTTGTAGGAGCCATTTTTATTATTGAAAGCCTGGATTATGAAAGTTCCCATGAGTATTACTTGACAGTGGAAGCCACAGATGGAGGCACACCTTCATTAAGTGATGTTGTAACAGTGAATATCAATGTAACTGATATCAATGATAACACTCCAGTGTTCAGCCAAGACACCTACACAGCAGTAATCAGTGAAGATGCCATGCTTGAACAATCGGTCATTACAGTACGTATTATTATGTGGTTTTGGTTTTATTTTTTCTCTATTTTATTCAGTTGAGCCAATCATAGTTTCTCTCTGAGAAATAAATACTAATTTGTAAATTGTTAACTTTTTAAGAAATCTTTCAGAACTGGGAATATAAAACATATAGGGAAAGTGCAGAATATTTTGTACTAGTTGTAGTCCATTTATATGAATTATGATTTCATTTGCAGAGAGATTCCAGAAAAATTAGGCTACCCGACTTTGGTATATTCCAAATATTGGAGTTTTTGCCTTGATAACTCTGTAATATGCTAGACCTGAAACAGCAGTGCCTTCCATTAGAATGAATTTATTGAAAGAGCACCAGTGTCTGCCTAGATCAATTTTACATGAAAATATGATGTCTTCTAGGTTATGGCAGATGATGCTGATGGACCTTCAAACAATCACATTCACTACTCAATTATAGATGGCAATCAGGGGAGTCCTTTTACAATTGACCCTACCAAGGGTGAAATAAAAGTGACTAAACTTCTAGACAGAGAAGAGGTAAGTAAGTTTTATGACTTTTTTTTTTTTAATTCAGTTGGTTAGATTAAAATACAGGTAACTTGCACTGCCATTTTCTGGGGTGATATTTATGTAAATTCTGATGACTTCAGGTCTTTTAAAATTAAGGTAAATGTAATTTTTTCAATGAGGACAATTTTAAAAAGTGACACCATCTGTTTATGGCATTAGTTTGTGGTTTTTTTATTCAGATTGTAATAGGGTCTTTAATTATAGTATATGATATATATAGAGTCTTGTTGTTCGTCTGAAGTACCCGTGTATTATGTGGGTTCAAATATTTTTCTCAATTAATACAAATTCTTCAGTTTGTCACCTTTTTCTTTCTTTAATGAATGTGTGGATTTTTTTTTTTTTTTTTTTTTTTTTTAGTATTTCTAGGA